CATTTGGATCTAGGCCTACAATTCTGTCTATGCCCTACTACTTTTTTTTTTTGGTATCAGGAATTGAACTCAGGACCTTGCTCTTGTGAGGCAGGCGTGGAGCCACTGAGCTAAATCCCAGGCCCCTGCCCTACTACTTTTTAATCTACACCTATCTAGCTACCTATTTTTCACCTTTCAAAGATTCACAAGGACTGAAGCCACCAACGTCTAGTTGAAATATCATAATAAGGACATTGGTACTTTATTTCTATACAAAATACCACTAGATGTAGAGGAAAGAGTTACATGCCTTCCCTTTCATGTTTATTTTTTCTTACAGTTAGTAGGCAGAGGTACAATTACTTTTTATTAGTATATGTACTAATACATGGCTAACTGGTATTTTAAAATTCTTCAATACTGGTAAAATCTTTCCATTTGGAAGCAGTTTGTCCTAATTTGAAAATAAAAAGCATCAACACTCCTTCCATTATTCCCTGACCTACTGTAAGGAGTTCATCACTACATCGACACAGGAACAGATTAGTCCCTTGTTACTCAGGTGGAAGGGCTCATGAAGTAATGGCGGAGCAGCGATGTCATTGATTATGTAAGAATCACACGGCCCGTATTATTCTGTTGGAATGCCTTTTCTTTACCAGTACAGGAGCGAGAAGCTAACTCATCTGGGAGGAAATAGGTGAGGCCTCTGCATTCTTATCTGAAAGGAGATTAAAATACTGATTTGTCACTCTGCGCGGCTCTCTGCTCTTTCTAGGGACTGGCTGCAACCTGACAACTGGGAAACCTCAGACTTAGTCCTTTGCTTTTTCATCACCTTTTTCTTGGCAGGGAGTTGTTTTGCTTTGCTCTGACATTTTTGTGTTTTGTGTTTGTTTTCCCTGGACTCTTCCAGAACTTATTTGAAGGTCAATAGGTTTATTTGCAAGCGTGTTGGATTGTTCATATTAAGGCCACATTTCAGAGTGGTGGACATTGAATTGTCTGGAGAATAAACAGCTGGGGTGGTGTGGCCAGCCAGGAATAGGAAACAATTTTGCTAGGACTTCATGGAGCCCTGGTCAGCCAAGACTGCCCTTAACTGGGTTGCGTGGCTTAGGGCTCCTCCTCTGTCGCTTCAGCCATCCATTACTGTGTGATGCCAGGGTGGCATGCCTTGGAGGCTGACAGGACATGCGGTCCCTGGACTCCAGGAACTGGCAGCATCTTCTAGAAGAGCCTTCACTCACTCTTAGATGTGCCTCACTGTCCACTCACTCAAGTGCCTGGAACTCAGAACTTCCACCCCAGGGGTTCCAGACTGTCTTCTAGACTGACTTGTTCCCGGATGTGCCTGTGCCCACTCTCCAGACTGTAGCATTGGCAAAGGAGCATCCAACATGAGGAGCAGGAGGCAATAGGGACTGTCACACCCTCGGAGCGTGCAGGGAAGAGACAAGGAGGAGGTGGAGCTGCCCAGCTTTAGCCAGTGTCTTTATGCCTGGGAAAGAGGCATCAGCCCACCTGTTACATAACTTGATGAGGGAAGAGGAGTGTAGGGATCTGGGTTTGCAGCTCCTGTGGGCTGAACAGCATCTTCATCGGGTATGTGAAGTCCCAGCACCTGGCACCTGGCCTTTGCTCTAAGGTACATCCCTAGCTCTTTCAAATATTTTAAATTTTGAGACAGGGTCTCATTCAGTCACCGAGTTGCCCAAGCTGGGCTCAAATTTGCCATTCTCCAGCCTCAGCCTCCTCCCAGTGTGCTAAGATCACAGACATGAGCCATCACACCCAGGTTGCATTTCTGTTGTTTTAAGCCACCAAGTTTTTTGTACTTTGTTATGGCAGTCCCAAGAAACTAAGACACAAGGGATACATACGTATTTTGAAAAATGAAGTCTTTTTTGGAAGCCATATTATGGACAATGTAATGGGGGATTACCTTGTCACAGTAACATAGCAATCTATTTCCTGATGTCTGCCAGAGCTCTTACTACACTGGGAAAAATATTAAAAATAGCGCAAAGTCTGCTTTCTTTTTTTAAAATAATGTATTTATTTCCAAATAAGGGCATGTGTTCCATGATTTGATAATTCTTGATAGTGAAAGATCAATTTCTATTCTATTAGCTTTGCTAAGTGGGGAGAAATGAATCAAAACATAAAGTTTTATTTGGGTAAGGTTTAGAAGGGATATAAAGACAGATAACCCGGTCTTACATTGGCTGACATCTTTGGCTCTGCGCAAATGCTAAACGAAGTGCTGAAAACACTACCTAGCATCTTGTTGGTTGAAGCATGTGGCTAAGATGTTAATTCAAAGTCATGAGGAAGGGGGCCTCTACTCAGGAAAAACTGTACTGTATATTCTGAGGTAAATGAAGTTAAATCACTTCTCATCACAGGACTTCCGAGGGTCTTTGGTGTGCTGTTTTATTTCAAGATGCGGGGTTATGTTACCATAGAATCTTTAGTGGAAGATGTTTTATGAAACTGAGCCTCCGTAGTCTCACTGGAAGGAATATGAACTTCAGAATATTGCTTCTGCTGATGCTTTCTTGAGTGAGTTTGGGATGGATGAGTCTCCTTCTGTCCTATGCACATTTCCCTTAGTTTTCATTTGTCAACCTTCGATGTATACTTTAGGTTACCATATAAAAGAATCCCAGAGAAGTCTTTTAGTCTTGAGTCAGAAAATCATTAATACCATAATTATTGATCTTCTAAATCATTTCTGACTTTTTTTGCTATTGATATGAAGCCATTATATTGGGATAAATCATAAACAGCTGATACTCAGCTGACAAAAGTGGCAGTGTCATATGATCACACATCAATGTTATTAGAGTCAGTACAGTTTCCAGGGTACTTAATGTACTGAAAGAGGCTTAGCCACTTCAAGAGTTTGGCTTAATACTTTCATAAACAGACAGGATGGTTGACAGGCAAAGTCAATTGTTCTTGTAAACCACACCAAGTTGACCGAGACTGATAATATTGTGTAAGGCCAAACAGGAATGCAAAATTATTACAATCAATTTTACAGAGTGATGTGCAGTGAATAAAATGAATTTCAATTAGGGTAATTGTGAGGCTTTGTAAAATAGAATAATTATTCTGACAAATGCAGCAGAAGTAGAAACATTTACAAGGACTGGACTGGACCCCAGAAAGAGGAGTTTTAAAGTCAGCGAACCACGGTTCAGGCTTTGCTGAACAGACCCAAACGGGCAGCCTCTGAGACATGGATTTTGTCCAACCATCTGGACCTCATCTGGGGATTTTGGCTGCCACATCTAATGGCTGTTGGCTCCAGGTCAGTGAGTCTACTCCATGTGGCCTGTGAATTTCAGATATTAAGACATAGAATTATTACCTCCAATATGTAAGAATACTCTCTGTACAACCCATTATCTCTGTGAATTATCTTAATGGGTCCCTGATCTTTATCAAATTTGATTATTGAAGTAAAATTCTCATTCCCCTCAGCCACTGTGAGACTTAGGGTATGTGATAAAAAATATGGTAAATGTTTAAATAAAAAATAGTTATTAGAGAAAAAGACACATAGCCACTAACTCCCCTCAAAGCACTCTGCCACCTACTTCAACTTTCAAGGGCAACTAAAGGCCAGGGAGGCTAGGAAATCTCCAGTCTTATTCCTGCAGGTCATAGACTATATCACTCAACTTGACATGAGATGACAAGCACTTCTGACAGACACTAATAGTAGCAGCTTTGAATTTGAAGTTTGCAAGTTCTTTGAGGACAACATCCAGGTATTATGTGTGTTTTGTGCTTAGATCAGACAAATGTGCAGTCAATAAAAGCATCAGTAGGCTTCATGAGACGGCACTTAATAAAGTTGAAAATCACAACTATATGAACAGTATCCCATAGAAGCAAATGATGATTGAAAAGATGAAGAACAGAAAATTCTGTGGAGATTGAGTGCATGTGGTTCTTATCTTTTTGATTCTTGAACTTAAGTATAAAATATCCACTTAGTTTTTATGTCCATCTTATCCAATGGTAAAATTTAATGTACCCGTAAAATGTTATTGCAGGTTTAATTCCAATAAATAGAAAGCCAATGTTTAGTTTAGTGGAGTTTTGTGTAAGATTACTCATTCAGGATTTGGAGTTTTAAGTGTTATAAGTTCTACTGGACTGAAATTCTGTGGTACTAGGTAGATTTTTATTTTTTTTTAGGGCTGAATTTTTGACTGTGCTTCATTAGAATTCTGATATATTATCCCGGTGTTTCTGTGAATTAACTTAATGGGTCCCTGATCTTTATGATAGTTGATAATTGAAGTAAAATTCTCATCCCTCAGCCACTGTGAGACATATGGGATGTGATCAAAAATACAGTAAATCTTTAAATAAAAAATAGTTATTACGGTAAAAGACACGTAGCCATTAACTCTCCTCAAAGTACTCTGCCACCTGCTTCAAACACACTTATTATATTTGCCGCTTTTTGAAGCCATTCTGGAAGTCCTTTCTCTTGAGTGTCTTTTCATGGCTGCCTCAGTGTCCTGAATGATTCAAAATGTTTATGGCAACTTCTGTCAAATGTAAACATCATGCTGTGTCTTTATCAGCCTTATTCACCAAATCTGGCCCTGTTCAAATTCTACTTCTTTTCCAACGTCAAAACGACCATGAAAAGTACCATTTTGAATCAGTTCAGAACACTGAGGCAGCCACATTAACCCAACTAAAGACACTAATGAAAGAGAACTTTCAGAACTGCTTCTGTAAGTGGCAAGAACAATGGGACAAGTGTGTTCAAAGGAAGGGGAGTATTTTGAGGGAGATTAATGGCAGTGTGTGTTTTACTGTAAAAAAAATTAAAATTTAAACAGTCAGTGTATTTTCCATCACACCTTCTATGTGTCTAAGTTTATTGTAGGTCAGTTTTGAACCAGTGGGACCCTTAAGGGGTTTTGCTACAATAGTAGTTCCCTTGGGAAAACAATCTGAGTCACTGGATGGTTTTAAATCCTCAGGCCATGGGACTTGTGACTGTGGGAAGTGCAAATGTGACCTGGGATGGTCTGGGGATGCTTGCCAGTACCCGACTAACTGTAACCTCACGAAGAAAAAAAGCAATCAAATGTGCAAGAATTCTCAAGATATCGTCTGCTCCAATGCAGGTAAGAATTATATCTTAGGAAAATTCTTAAGTGATATAATCACAATTTGTTTTTTAATGGAAATATGTAGGAGAGAAGACAGGTCCAACCTAAGTGAGACTGCTTTTGAGTATATTTTTTAAAAATGAAATTCAGATCCATCAAAAGGAAAAAAAGCTGTCATCTTGCTGAGACTGGCAAGTTTGATACTCTCCAGCTGTGTCCAATGCCTCCTTGGAGCAGAGAATTCACTGGAAACAACACTCGACAACATTTTATGAAAATTGAGAGCCACGATTTTGAATGCTGGATTAAATCTTTCAAAAAGGAGTTACATAACTGACTTAATTATTTTCTGTCACAAATCAAAGGTGCTTTGAATTTATTCCCTAGCATTAAGTAGGACCAAATCTTTTTAATTTGATAGAAGTTTCATACTTCTATCATATAGTGACAGTGAGATACTTTGACCAAAATATTTTATATTTCATAGGAGTCGTTTAAAGATATTTCTTAGAAAATTACAGGGAAGTTGTTAAAATTGATTAGCAAAGCCATGTAGAATTGAACAGTTGCAGTTTAGATTTTAATGGTATTTAGCCATAATTAAGCATTCTTACCATTTGGGTATATGGAGCCTTAAAGCTGGTTTTTCTCAGCCATGGTTGAACATGAGAATCTCAAAGGGAAAGGAATCAAATGTCAGTGCTCATGTCTAACCCTAGAGGATCTGCTTCAGTTGGGGTGTGGCCTGGATATTAGCTGGTTTTGAATTATGCAGAGGGATCCTAATGTAAATCTAGAGATGGAGAAATTGGACTACATGCTCAAGGTGAGTATTTGGCTGCCTATGCAAATATCTTCCCTTGGAAACTTGCATTACTGGTAAGGGCCTTCTCCAATCAGAGCTAGGACTTTTCCACAGTCTGACTGCAGCAAATTGCTAGGCATCCACTGGGCTCTGTAAGGGTGTCTTGCTAATGGAAATCAGGGCCAGACCCAGAGCAAGGCTGAAGGGGGACATCTGGGACCAGAAGAGTGGTCTGAGCAGTCAGGTCACTTTCTGCCTTCATGGTATTCTCTTCACCTCAGCACTTCTGCTTTTTCTTTCCTCTCAGTAGGGTTTCTCTACCTCCAATTTGTGACACCCACTGATACCAATACACACGCACGCACACGTGTGCACACGCACATACACACACACAGGGTGTAGCTTCTATTTTGGACTTCAGTACTCTGCTTTTGAATTTATTTTCATTATTGTTTTGGAAATAAAATCAGATATTAAAATTTATTTTTTTGAGACAGGGTCTTGCTAAGTCATTATTTTTCACAAGCAAGTCTCCAACTTGTGATCTTCTCAGCCTTCCAAAGTTCTGGGATTATAGGTGTGCACCACCATACCAGGCTCCTATTTAAATATCTTAAATGAAAAAATACACATAATCCCTTTTTAGTAGATGATAAAACATATTTGGAAAAATATAAAACACATTTTAAAGATATCTGAACCTCTATCTTTTTTTTAAACATCAACATAATACTTTTATGTAATCTATCATCCAGTTCAGTTTTGTCAATTGACCCAACAGTGTTCTTTAGAATGTTTTACCCTTCCTTACAGGATGAAATCTAGGGTCTGTGTTATGATTAGTCATTTCTCTTTACCTTCCTTTAATCTGGGCCATTTTCAAAGATTTTGGCTTCATAGGATTTAAAATGTTAAAGAAAATTTTCCTAATCTCTCTTTTTGTAAATAAAATCTCTCCTCACAATACCAGTATATTTATTTGTTTGCTCAATATTATACCACTTCTAAAATTGTTTTTAGAATTGCTCCATCCCACAAATATAAACAACAAATCCATCACAACAGACTAAGATTTTTTCCAATCCACTATATCCCCAAGCTTTCTCCACCTGAATCATTTATGAGATTAGAATTTGTCATCAAATGCTGTGTAATAAATTACTTGAATTCCTTTTATCTTGTTCCTTTTAGTGTGTTTATGGTATTTGCTTAAAATATAATTGAGCTTATTTATTTCATATTGCTTTCACTTTTCATTTTTTCTTCCTTCTCATGATTTATTCATATATTTCATACTGTATAGAACACAAACATATTTCTAAAAGTCAGAACTACCCATGCAAGCATAGTTCAGAGAATCTTCACTCCCTTATACCCTACTTATTCTCAGCTTTATGACCAATCAACTCTGCTGCTTTTTGCTTTACCTGTGGTAAAGGTTTCTGTTTATAAATATAAATAGATATATGTGTATTTTATTATTTTTGTCTATCTCCTATATAAAAGGCGCCACACTATGCTCTTTTGTAGTCTGCCTGCATTATCTTCTGGAATTTACTCTGTATTAGTTCATAAAAATCATTTTCATTCTTTTTTCAAAAGTATAAGACTGAATTCTCTGCATGTGACATATTTATTCAATCCATCTTCAATGCTTGAGCATTTAAAGCTTCCAGTATTTTGAAACCAAAATAATAATGGATGAGACAATCTGTTCTATCTATATTTTCATGTTTTTGGAGGTATATCTTCAGGGTAAATTATGAGGAGTGAGATTGCTGGGCCAACTGGTAAATTCATATTCAGTGTTATATCCACTTCCACCCACCTAGTTCAGGACCTTCCAAATTGCATTAGCCTATAGGTTTTCTAATCTTTTCAAGATCACATTGTGGTCCTCTGGAAGCATCTTGGAGAAAAAAAGGCAAGAAGCAATAAATGGAGTGGGATTAGGACCCAAGGGCAGAATGAGATGGAGCTAGGTATCAACAAGTTTCAGAAGCTAATTCTGTAGGGTCCCCAGATAGGTGACAATGTGCAGAGTGAGGTGAGGAGGCAGTGCCTTGACACAAGGTGCAGGCTGGTGTGCAATTCTGAGAAGTCATCCAAAAGGAGCCAGCTATATTATACAGCATGCAAACTGGAGCTAAAATAACCCAGTGTAAAGCAGACCAATCCTGGAGAATGAGTTAACTGGCAACCAAGAAAGAGAAGCAGGATGACACAGCATGATCAAGGAGTCTGGCACTTCTGCCTGGGCTTCCATCTGCCATGTTTTGGAGGCTCAGTTGTGAATTCTGCTGGATGGGTGAGACAGGAAGTCTGTTGTATATTTTCCAACCAGCCAGGAATGGTTTGCATGTGTGGATGAGAGTGAACCTGCCTGTGGGGAACAGACGTCAGTGAGGAGTTGTAGAATTTGGAGGCAGAAGCTGTTTCTTGCCATCTTTTATGGCTGGGAGATTTCTCGCTATGCAGCCCTGACAGAGTTACTCTCTTCTTCTAAATCATGGCAGGCTCCTAGTATTTCAAAAGATAATCTGGAATCCTTAACCAATGTTCTTGATCTCTGCTATCTGCAGTCATCCTAGCCTTTTCTCCAAAGCCAAGCCAGGATTTCACTGTTCTTCAATTTTCCATACTTATTGCTTATTCTAGGCACTTTCTTCAACATTTTCAATATCAAAAATCTCTTCTTCATCTCCACTTGTTGGAATTTTATGCATTTATCATATGCCAACACAAGAATTTATTCCTTCCCTATACCTTTCCTCCTTCATAGAACCAGATAGAATTTTACTTTTGACAGTACTTGGCATAAATCTGGTGCAAATTCCTATATGTCATGTATCTTCTGTGTATATATATATGTACATACATACTAAAATATATATAATATATATGATTTTTATAATATATGGATATGCATATATCTCTCTTTAGATAGTGTCATGATTTGTGTCTAGATGTCCTCCCAAAGCCTCATGCAGTCATAGGTGGGGCTTTTTGGAAGCCCCTACTCCCCTGCTCCCCTACTCCCCTGAGGTCAGTTAGCCTGGATAAAATATAAGGAACAGAAATAGGGCTGCTGTTGTCTTTGCTTGTCACTTGTCACTTGTGGCTTGCTGCGTTGCTGCCTTCTACCTGCCATGAACTGTTTCTCCTCTGCAGTGCCACCCTACCTTGGAGCCATGCAACTATGAACTGAACCCTCTACAAGCTGTGAGCCAAATAAAACTTTCCTCCTTTAACTTTGGGTGTCATATATCTTGTCTCAGAAATGAGAAAAGTAACTAAGACAGAGAGATAAATATTTTATTAATTATATTTTTCTTTCTGGTCTATGACTTACTTAATATTATTTATCTTATTATAATCCTATTATAAATTTGCAGTAACACAATAGGTCACAAAAAAGTTTAATGACTAGGTATGTGGGTGGTTGAGAGACAGAATGAATAAATGTGAATATACAAAAAGAGTGGTAGGAAAAATTAGTTGAGACAATGTGGCCGTAATACCAGATTTCAAATAATTTTTATAAATTAAAATCATCTTCAGAAAAAACCTGCACAAAAATGAAGTATAATATAAATCATATTCACATGAGTATTCCCATGGTAGGAAATAACAAACTCAAATTCTGCAAAAGTCACCATTTATAGGTACTTGAAGAGAAAAACTCTTACAGACAATAGTGAATTGCAAGTGATCTGGATAATGGAATTGGGGAGAAGACATTAAAGGAAGGTCATTGTCAGGGCCCTTAAATGCCAGGTGAGTCTGGAGAAAATATTTAGAATATGACTAATATATTTGGTATCTTATTGGGAGAAGAAGAAGAAATCAACAGTTTTTGAAAGCTTACTATGGACTAGACCTAGCAGTGTTTTAAGAGATGACTGTGTCTTATATTTACCACTTGGTCCTCATTCTGTGAATTAGAGACTATTTGAAGTTATAAAATGTGACAATTGAAGATCAAAGAGATCTCAAAAATGGATAGTCACTGAGTATTGAAATTTGGATTCTACTACTAGTCTACCTTAATCTGAATTCCTGCCCTTTCCAGCTTGTCACATACAGTACAGGACAGCTAATATCTCATTGCTCCAGCAAAATATCATCTATGGCTCCTCCTCATCCTTTACCTCTCACTTCAATTGGCCACCAGACATTGTGTTCTTTCTCCTGAAGATATTCTCAAGTGTGTTTACTTCACTCTAAACTCACTGTTATCCCCTGTCCAGCCTCCACTTTATTTTTTCCTGCAAACAAATTTAACAGGCTCTTAACTCATTTTCTTATGTCCACTTTTGCCCAATATCTGCATTCTCCATGTGTCAACCAGTGCAACCTAGTATAAATGCATACATGACTATAGGATCCCTTGCTGAGAACACTAGTGGGGTTTCATATTCTTGGATTAAAGTTGCAAGTCTTTAAGATGAACCAGAAGATTCACATATAGCCCCTTTACTTGCCTTTTTATATAATGACATTTTCCACATTATTTCATATAATTCAACTCACTCTTTTATCACTGATCCTTTGCTGTTGTCTCTTGCCAGAATTGAATTTCTTCACCATCTTACTTTTCTTGATAATATTTTTTGTGGCTTGACTCTCAGTTCTCATCTGCTTCCTTCAGGAATCTACTTTGACCTCCAAGTCTCAGCTAAATTCCCTTGCTGTGTGCTTCTGCAACACTTTGCACTTCTCTATTTGCTTAATCACATTGATTTATACTCATATCGGGTTCTGAGAGGAGGATTACAGCTGACTTGATCTCCTGTTGGATTTTCAGAGTCTAGGGTTGTGTCTGGCTGCTGACAAAGTCTTAATTTTTATATGATGATTGCTGTATCAGTTAAAAATAGAAAACTATATATTAAGAAAGAAGTTCCTCATGTAGAAATCCTACCTCTAAATATCATTTTAATGCAACATTCCCATCAATTAAATCACTCTTAGGGGTTGTAATCAAACACTCAGACTTGGATGGGTATGTGGCTTGTGGTAGACCAGATGACTCCAATACCTCTATCACTGAGCCACTTGGAGATTCTTTAAAATCCCAGGAATCTTAAGAGAACTCACTATGTTCTTCTTACCAAAAGAACAAAGGTACCAGTCAGTGCTGAGGATGTGAAATTATCAGGGGCATACAAGCTTTTTCATTTATGCATTTGATAATGAATTATTTCCACAAATATTTATTATAGAAATCACATGTTCAAATATTGTGCAAAGCATTGAATAAATACTGGCAAGGAAGATAAGCAAGGTTACTTCCATCATAAAGCTTAGAATTTTCTGCTTTAGTCCCCTTCAGACCCAGGTCTAATCAGAAGATATTCATGCTTTGGTTGGAGGGATATCTGTAAAGTAGGTGGGCACTTGAGGAGGTCAAATTTACATTCATTAAACTATTAGAGGTCAATAGTAATAGCTGTGTGATATAAAATAATTGCTGCACCCTCATAATCTCAAAAAAGTTTATTCTCTACCTCAGTATGTCCATATACATGATTGAAATATTAAATTGATTTGAACTTTCTATCTTTTGGAAATAAACAGGATAAAACTTCATTCATTATAATAGATATGCATGTAACAAAGTCTTTTCTTTTTTTTATGGCTTAGGTACCTGTCACTGTGGCAGGTGTAAATGTGATGATTCAGATGGAAATGGACTTGTCTATGGTAAATTTTGTGAGTGTGATGATAGAGAATGTATAGATGATGAAACAGAAGAAATATGTGGAGGTATGTATGTTAACTGTGGAAACTCATAAATCACCTGATTTTTTTTCACCTCTTTCATTGTACTTTTATCTCTGCATAAGTTTTTGCTCTTGTGTTCTAATGAACTTTGAACCTATGCTTATTAGGAACACACTGCAGATATGGAGGGTTGGACTAAGGCATTCAGAGTAGACTAGCACCTTTTAAATGTACAACTGGATTGTCCCCAGAGGAGAGTCACATCATTTGACCACAGGCCAGTTGCATAACTCTGAAGCAGTCATAGTAGGATGTCATGTTTTTTGCTTACCTTAGCCACTATAACTGTATCACTTTTCTCCTTATCTCTTAATGATAATTCATTTCATTCTCTTTCTAAACCATAACCCTTCAGATAGTCTCATGTTCTGTTGAGATCACTGAAGTCTGACAGGATGGTTAGCTTAGAGTTTCTCTCTTCTCCCTGCACCCTTTCTATTTGCCACCATTACTCAACTCATTTTTTTTTATTGCACCATGCTTATATTGTTTCCTGGAGGGCCACAAACTTCAATAAGTGCTTTTCATCCATGTATCTCACAAATCACTCTAGGGTAAGAGTTAATTTTATCCTCACAGACAGATGTGGAAACTGAGACTTGGAAAAATTAGATAATTTACCTAGGCTCATTTCATTAATTATGATAAAATTTAGATTCCTATCTTGAAATTACAGAGGAAATAAATAAGTTTATTTAAGTCCAAAAAGTTGATTGACTCTTATAAAATCTGACTCTTATGAAAAACAATTAATGTACAGTTATGATTTTTTCCAGTGTAATTCTCAAGTTCCCAAGACTTGTTATATAGCATTAGGATATGATTTTGTTGTGTGCACATGCAGAGATCTTTTTAAGTCAATAAATAAAATATAGAAGTGATGTATTTAATTTCTGATTAAATAAATTGATAGTCTTTGCTCTGCTTAAGTAAACAAATTAAAATGTGTTGAGGAAATGGTCATTGTCTCTGAAGTTAAGGAGAGTTTCATATGAATACTTCAATTAGAGTACATTTAGACTGCAAACATGATATTGTGAGAGTGAGTTCCTCTTTCTTTGCATCTTTCTAAAGCCTTCTATCTTTTCACATTTTTCTTTCTTTTGCATGTATAAGTCACATCTTCTGGGCATGAGTGGCATAGCAGAGTAGAATAATCTATAGTATTTCCCACTTCTTATGTAAGTTTCACTCTTAGACCTTACTAATACTCTTGCCATTGGCTAGATATGGCATAATGTTAGAATGAAAAATAGGCTATTAGAGATTGAAAAATATCTCCATGATTGGTTTTCCATGGGCTCTCTAGAATTCTGGCTGGAGTAACAGAAGGGAATTGAAAGAACAAGTACTTTGACTATATAGATAGATAAAAAACAATCCCCTAAAACAGAAAGAATAGATTTAAACAAGAATTAGGACATTCATCCATGGTTAAGTAGCACAAATACAAGGAAGAGAAGGCATCAGAAGTGAATTTGGGGGTAAATGCCATCCTTTGGGAATTTGTAGAAGGCAGGTTAGACATGCTTGACATGAACGAAGTGACGTGAAAATTCATTCCCATGGCTTACTGGGATGCACAAATGAACAGGCATCAGGCTATAAAAAGAAGGGAGCTTAAAAAGTGACATCTGGACAAAGTGATGAGTCCCATTCACTGTCATTTTTTAATCCTCTTTAAACATAGGGTAGGGATTTGACCTTGAGACCAGTACCTACAATAATTTATTGGTCCAAATCAAGACAAAATGTAGACTTCACTGAAAACGTCTTTTCCACATAGAGCAACACTGTGGGACACAGTTGGATGAAAATTTGATCTATTTCCTCTGGTTTAAAAATGGCTATGTCATTAATAATGTGTATCTAACTAAATATCTACCATTGCTTTCTCAGTAGTTGATTTCAAATAAACTATTTAATGCCTAATTGAAGGAATTCCCTCATGCATTGGAGTTTGATGAATGCAACCGAGGATGCAAAGTAATAGACTTTCTCAGTCACTCATGTTATTTCTTTAAAACACTTTCATTCTAATCAGCTCTCTGTGTGGTCCAAGCTAAAGGACAATTTGGTTTGCTTAATTTGTGTAATTAGGCAAATATAATTATGCAAATAGAGAGTTCAGGTATAAGCTCCACTTTGATGTTTTGAGGAAAAACTGTATAAGTTGATTGTTTTGGCAAGGGATGTGGAGCTCTCATATTAAAAAACAAAAATGATTATGAAGAGGTAGAAAGTTAATGCTGCTTTGAAAAGTTGCTTTTTTCCTCACTGTGTAAAATTCTTTTGGGTAAAGGCCATGGGAAGTGTTACTGTGGAAACTGTTACTGTGAGGCTGGTTGGCATGGAGATAAATGCGAATTCCAGTGCGACATCACCCCCTGGGAAAGCAAGCAAAAATGCACGTCTCCAGATGGCAAAATCTGCAGTAACAGAGGTGCGTCCTTCATACATGTTACTACATAATTGGGAAGCAAACACAACTCTTCTTTATTAACAGTTCTCTGCATTTCCTGAAGGGTGGGAGAGAACCATCTTTTATAATGGTCTACTTGATATAAATCAATCTTTATTACACCAACAGTCCTCTCTTTCTTGTTCTTTATGGAGTACAAAACAGAAAGATAAGAAAGTTTGTTGTTGTATTTTAAGCTTCACTGAACAAATAGTTAACACGGGGACTGTCATTTCTTTGGCAGTCACCCAGAAGTGGCATGGTACAGCTAAAAGGCAATCCTTGTAGATACTTCTGCTAAATGTCTCTTGACTCACACAACCACTGACAGCATGAGCATCTAATTACCCAGAGAGCATTCAGAAAGCCCTCTTGTCTTAATTATGACCCAATGGAAGCCTTGGCTAAAAGGTTAAATTGATATAGATGAACTTAACTTCTATGTGCAATAACAAGCATATGGCACAAATACAATGGATATAGTAGAAACTATGTATCAAATACCCATGGAAAATTTAGACTGACCTTAAGTAGGACCTTTAAAAAATTCATACTGACAAAATACAATTAAAAGTTAGTTAACTGATGATATAAAATCAGGTAGTTTAAGCAGCTCTTAGAAGTCCTGGAAACTCTTATTTTTCCCTTTGTCTGCTGTAGAGGTAGATAAGGGAGAGCCACCTGATGACATACACAAGGGGTCATTATGCTTTCAATAAATTATAAAATCTAGTTAGCTGGAAAACTATGTTTTCATTTTTCTTAATGAGTGATTCACCCTAGTAGATGACACACACACACATGGAAAGCTGTAACAACCTTTGAAACCCGATGGAAGGGTAGGGCCTGTCCTATTTCTGTGCATAGAAAAAGGGAAGCAAAAATTCTGAAGTTGGAATAAAAAATGAAAACTCCTCACTTTAGGTGGATTAGATCTTACTGTACATAATAACTCACTCTATATGTTCTTTAAATATATAAAGATGTATTTTCTGCTGAAATCCTGTTTGTTCAATAGGGTACAAACACACCATTTTGTCCGTGTATGAAGCCTGGATATGAACACGACTGTTGAAAAATAACCACTGAGGTGTTGAACTCAGAGGGGGAGAAGACGGGGTAGGGTGAAGTGTGGATTGGAGCCAGGCTGTGCAGCTGGGTGGTGGGTTCTGAGGGCAGGGTACTGTTCAGAGACACACACCAGGCCACATATCTGTGGTCCTGCCTCCTGCTTGGGCCATTGGCATTTGCAGATCTGGCTGATGGAGAATGGGAGGGAGTAGCTTGCCTCAGTGAGGCTCAGAAGTTGTGAGCTTTAGGGGTTCAGGAAATCCCTGGGATGGCCTTTCTCAGAAAATATCATCTGTGTCTAACCTGGTGGCATTGCCTTTTCACCAGTTCCTTTGGTAAAAGAGAGACACAGTTTCCTACAAGTGTCTACCTGGTCTTCCTTTCCAGCTCATCTCCAGGAGCTAGGACGACAGTCCTGTAGACTTAGCTCTGTGGTGATGGGTAAAGTTCTCAGCTGCTCACTTGGCTTGGGGACAGCTCCTATTGGACCTACTTTCAGACATGCCTGAAAGTTATTTCCTCTTCAGATCTGCATGGCTGCTTGTCCTTGTCCCCACTAGGTCATTTATATTGTCATGAAAACAACACACACCCATTTTTAAGAACCATGATAAGGGTATAAGCAAGTAAAAAAGAAAATGACCTGTAACATTTAGATGAAACCTTTTATATTTTAGTACATGACCCTTCAGGTTTTTTATTTACTTCAATTAATTTCTGTGACTTTCTCTCCCCTCTGAAGAAATATGCCCACTTATTCCATCTTCTTACTAAACACCAAGATTACATCATACTATACATGCTGATTTTTAAATGATTTTCCATTTAATATATATTTTGCTTATATATATCATCACAAAAAAACTGATTATTACACTTGATGACTGCTTTGTGATCCACACTATGCATATATCATTACTGCACTAATTCCCTGTTGATTGCTAATTGGGACACTGGTAGTTTTTCAATAAAATAAATAGAATTATATTTTATATCCCTGAACAGCTACTTTTGTGTACTTCTCCTTGCTGTTGGATACATTAATTGAAGGGGGTATTATACTGAAAGGTAACATGCAACTAAGAAGTGCATTTATGAACTTGCCACTCAGGGGACTGTACCACTGTGTACTACACTTCAGAACTGGAAAGCACCACCGTACCACTCCCTTGCCAGCCCTGGGTCCTTGCCGTCTCTCTTACCTGTGGCAATCTAACACCAGAAATCACCCCAACTCCCTATTTTTCTAAAGCCCTCTCACCCTGAAGCCCTTATTATTAATAATAGGTTGAGTGGATAAACAGTTTTCATGGTGATCTTCATTTCTTTATGAAGTTCTCTATTGTTCTTTCCTTTGATCTATTTTATTTTACGTATATTTAACCTTTGAATTTTTACTCCTAAGAGTTGTTTATACATTTGTGGAAGTGCTCTTTGTCTTCTAAATTCATAAATATTGCTTGCCTCAGCTTTTTATAGACTTTTTTTTTAATGGTGTTTTGTCCCAACCAAAATTTTAGACTTTTATGTGATTAAGTCTATTTCTTTATTTCCCTTTAGTAATTTTGCACTGGGAGTTCTGGGTAAAATTATGGTTTTAATTTGTACATTTAAGTTTACAACCCAACTGGTATTTTTTTTTTTTTTTTTTTTTTTTTTGGCACTGGAGATCGAACTCAGGACCTTGCACTTGTGAGGCAGGCGCCTGAACCACTGAGCTAAATCCCCGGCCCCACCCAACTGGTATTTTGATAAGAGTAGTTACAAAAACTTGAATTTATTTTTCTCCAAATGATTAGATGGTTGCCCTAAAAACAATCAGTAAAAACAATTACTGATAATTCTCACAAAGTAAGTATGGTATGATCTTTGGTATGATTTTTATATATCTTTATGGTATGTACTTTATATCAAAAGTACACAATAAAACTAATTTTTTAAAAAGATAAGACAGTAAATATGGCTTATAAAGAGGCACTTCCCTAAGCAAATCTCTTGATGACCAAGGTGATGCATTTTCGTTTGCTTTGTAATCTGCACCCATCTAACCCATCTAACCTCCCAAACTTTCTTCTTGGCTTTCCTTCATGTGCACCCTGGGCTCTACACCCACCATTAGTGTCCCAGGACACTTTCCCTTCTTGGTACATGCAGATCTTCTATTTCTAGTTACTCCAACTTGTGTGGGTCTCTCGTTCACCAAACTTTTACATCATTTCCTTGTGATTTACAAATGTTAGCGCTTATGCTCCTGATACTTGCTAGTTTCTCTTACATTAGCCTTTGTTGTTGTCCTTGTTAACTAGACTGCATATGCCTTAAAGACTAAGATTGTCACGTTAGTTCCTTTGGTCTTATCATGGAAAGAAACTAACATACTGCTAATGACGTACATCACAATCTCCCATCCTTATGAACATAGGTGATAACTTTGTTTATCTATTAAGGAATTTCTACTGCAAACTTCAGATGGTATTTTCCTTTTTAAGAACATTTTTATCTGAATATGTACACTTTCAAAGACAAAAGAAGCAACAGGGAAAAATAAATCAGCAGGTGAGATGCTTTCTGTCATAGATTTTCTTAATCAGATCCGTGTAAAATTCTTTTTTCCCATCTAGGGACTTGTGTGTGTGGTGAGTGTTCTTGCCATGATGTTGATCCGACCGGGGACTGGGGAGACATTCACGGGGACACCTGTGAATGTGATGAAAGAGACTGCAGCTCTGTTTATGACCGTTATTCTGATGACTTCTGCTCAGGTAAGGGAGCTTCTAACCCTTGCTTTTGAATTTAAACATCCATTTCCAGGTTACCAAGATTCGTTCTGGTTCTAGTAGACATGAAAAGAAACAGAACAGGAGTTTAATGCATTCTATATTTGCAGTGTTCCTACGAGTAACTTGGGAAACCCCCAGAGGCAAAAACCCAGAAACAAAACCAAAAATACTTCCCCTGGTAGAGCCTAGAAGTGGAAGCTCAGTCACTCACTTAAAATTAATGTGATTCCTTACCAAAGCGAATCATTAGCTCCAGACAGGTATATCTGCTCAACTCATTGGAGAATACAAAACTAACACGCTGGACGGCAGTAATTGGGATAGTTGCCATTAGGAAAACCGTATTAAATTATTGTTAAACTTAGGATAGCACAGGTCTCAGGGATTTTTTTTGTATTAACTTTTTGATACCATTTGCATCAAAATTATGCTGTAATATAGTCTAGAATTGAATATTCATTAGTGGATTTAAAACTTTTATGCAGTTAACATTTATGGAGCGGTACTACTTTTCAGAGTCTCGGTGGTGTCCAGGATCCACCAGGGAAAAAAGACAAGCCTGATACTTGAACTTCTGGAGCTCACAATCTAAATGCCAAGGAAAAAAATACACCTGTCCAAAATGTCTAATAGTGAAGGAAAAAAAAAGCAGTCAGAGTTATCTGACATTGAGTGTCATTTAACAAAAATGGAGTTATGGATTTTCAGACCAGGTATGTTTGATGATCCAGAGAGCAGATGTATGCAGGTGCATCTCTAAACTGACTGTTTGCCTGGTGCACGCAGATAGAGAGAAAGCTCCTCTGGTCTCCTGAAGGTAGATGAAAGAGTTGAGGTAGGAGAGCTGCTCTGTTCAATTATGATTGTGGAACTTTTAGGATTGAGAGGAGCCGGCTGGTGAAACTGCACACTGCAGAAGGATTTCCCCTTTGCTTCCCAGGATTTTTTAAACATTCGGGAGCCCTATTCGTTCAGGAGAAGTTTTACTGTTCATTATATATGTCAGTGTTCTCTGCTATGGTCTTTATCAACACAATGGTATTAAAGCAGGTGATAATTATGGGGTGGCTACAATATGCCAAACATGTTCTGAGGATGTTGGGGATGGGCTGTTTGACATTTTACTTAGGGTGATGTGGCCTTTCTCAGAGGTGACGATGCTATTGATTACATTGGGTGTGTGGTTCTGCCTTAAAAGTAGGTTTGCAGGTAATGAAAGAGGAGAAGGGAATGTGTGTATGAGGAATGGAGGATATATGACCCATACATGTTGCCAGGATTACTTTGAAATACATGAATATACAAGGAGCGAAGGGCATGGTAAAAGGTAAGGCTTGTGAGGAAAAGCAACTGGAAGGCTTTTTACTTTGCTGCAGAACCAAGCTTTCTTCTGAAGGCAGTGGAGAACTCGTGATGGTTTTAGGCAGAGGTATGCTGTAATCCTCAAGACTTAGTCTGGTTGTATGGGTAAATGTTGGTGTCATTTACTAAAGTGGGGCATTTGGAGGAGGTTTTCACATTTGCTAGTAACTGTGAGCATAAAACATAAATGGCCAGCCAAAGTTAGTATTTTTTTCAGACTATTGAACATGTGAGCCAGCCCTGAATATGAGAATTTAGGATTTTAGGCACAACATTGCTCGGGAAACATCACTTATGAATGCGATTTTAAGATTATGTGGAGATCAGCATGAATTCACATGATTTAAAGTTGAAAATTAAGGAGATAATTAGCAGGCTGTATATAAATGTCATGTTTGTGACTTGCTAATATGCTCCCTTTAACGTGAAGACTTTCTGGCTGTGAGCCCCATGATTCTGATCTTGATACAGAGTTTTGAGTAGGATTGAAAAGACCCAGATGACTCTGGTACAGTGGTGTAATGATGTGCTGGTGTCCTGTGAGCTGGCCCATGGCACCGTGAGGGCATGGGCTCCTGAGGTGAAGGCAGGGGAGGACTTACATCATGCTTCTCTCTTCTTCCACACCCTCACAGTTCCCACTGCAGCTCCTTAGGCTAAGACTTAGGGCTGTAGCTTGAGCAGGTGAAGTGTCTTCAACGGGGCCTCCTGCGAATCTAGTTTTCCATACCAACTATTCCTCCTCTCTCTCTTCTGCTTATTTTCCTTTTACTCATATTTCCCATTCTTCATATCCTAGGAGATTTCAGAGGTGCTTAGGCGGTTGTGGCTTCATGGTTGGTGGGGTTCTTGGAGGAGTTTGGTGAGAAGGTTTTACCCTCCTGGATGCATCATCCATGCTGCAGGTGTAGAAAGGTGCTGGTGGGAAAATGTGGAGGGGCTGTAGCAATGTGACATCAGTCAGAAACTCAGATTTGTTTTGTGGGTTCAGTGTGACCAGTCCTCCACAGAATGGCCTCCAGACTTAGGATGAGGAATTGAAGACAGAAGCAGCTCACATTAGGAGATCCTATTTTGTCAGAACTTGCCGAGTTCTTTCATATACTTCATTCCACTTTATTTTTGCTCAAACTGAGGGAATGAGACATTAATATCTGCATTTTAACAGAGGAAATAATCTCAGAGAAATTAAATACCTTGAGGAGCTTCACACTGCCTTTAATGTTATCTGAAAACACATATAGCCTAGTACTCATGTAATTTAATATTCAGGTAGTGCCAAAAATTCTTCAATTTTACTTTCTTTTGGTGAGAAAGCCTTGGGATATCCAAATCATTATAAAACTAAGTTTTCTGAACATCATGATGACCTGCGTAGGCATCAATTTCTGGAGCATTTCTTCATTCTTACTAAATTTGTAGAATTCTATATATTATGCTTAGTGAGTTATGAGACTTTATAATTTTCCTAATTACCAGTCTAAGCTGCACAGTAGAAAAGATGCCATACAGTTGGTTATTGAGCATGTTAATACCTTTGTGCTATGAGGCAGAAGTAATCCAACAACATCAATATTCTCTAGGGATTGTTGCAAGGCTGATATGTAAAAAGGCTCATATAAAATAGTTTTATTTTTAGCTCTCATTCTTGCCATCCTAAGTCCAAGGGAAGTGTCTGAGTGGATTACTTTAAGTTGATGCTTTTAATCGACATTCTCATTTTATTCATTTGTTCTCACTCTGTTCGTGTAATCAACGATACGCTCACATGTAAATATTGTGTGCTTAGAACATCATGGTGATATGGGACACAAATATGGTGACATGGTATCTGCTCCCAAATTAATCAGTTTTCTTTCTTTCTTTTGTCATTTTTGTCTGTTGTTCATTATGGACATGATATAGCTGGTAATGTGTTCATTCATCTGTACATAAACGTGACTCAAACACAATATGCACCCTTGCGGAAAAGACCATTGACAAATTTTGAGTGTGACTTTGACCAGGGCATGGCCAGCCATCAAAAAGAAAAAACTGACCATTTTGTTTGTTACACTCAATTTATTTCTTGATTCTAAAATAATTCCTTTAGTCCTGAGGGCTGCTTAACATTCCGATTTATTTCTTCAAATCTGGCAATTGGAAAAATTTACTGCAGTGTAAACTTCAGCTTTATTTTTCTGGTTGTTCTGCCTACCAATATGGGAAATATATAAGGACAGTTTCTGCTTAGGGTTGCACTGGTTTGAAAAATAGAATCACTTGATAGAACTGTAATATGTGGGGAGAGTCATCATTGTGGATTACCAAAGTGCTAAGGAAAAAGATGATAGAAATGATTAAGTGCATTCAACTTGCTTTGGCTTGGAAGAAAAATCAATATATTGAGTAGATTTGAAACTAACAAGTACTAGTTGGATCTAATTTATTCCCTGAAGCTTTTCCCTCTTGATGGTATTCATGTTATTTTGTAAGCAACTACTTTTACACATCAGGTTTGATTTCATGGGTACATTTTCATCATTTAAAAATAAAGAAATATCTTCTATATCAGAGAAGTGTTTTGTCTGGGATAGTCAACTGCATTTGTTCTACTCTGATATTTCTAGAGTTTGGATAGGTTTACACAAAACAACACAACTATTACAAATAAAAATGACATTTTGATGTCAATGCCCTTTGTGTAAGAACCTAAGATTCTGCATACCTGCTGCCTTTCAAGCATGGCCATTATGCTGGGCATGCTAGGAACTAACTTTCTTGTCCTTATGGTGCATATTGGCTTTCACTCACATTTGCAGTAGGTGGATTACACCAACAATGAGCACTGCATGCTGTTCCATTTTTGAGTTTTGTTGTATTTGTGTATTTGTTAGTGCATACACATAGGCCTTCTGAGAGTGGTTCTCTTATTTGAATTCTTCTGCTGTTTGAGATCAGGGATAAACAACAACCTTCCCTATCTTTCATGTCTTTCACAGAGACTCTACCTACATAGTTTAAATACTTTTGTTAGAAGCAATGAAATTAACTCGTACGGCCTTAAAATATACATGGATTGGACAAACTGGCATAGAAGAATTACATTTCAAATCGATGTGGAAATTTTTCCTTCTAGATCTTTCCATTTGAAAAATAAATTAAATTGAGGCCAGTTCGGAAGGGATAATGGTACATCTAAATCAAGGACCAAGTCTCTTAATTTCCTTTCTTATGCCTTTTTCACCATTTGTCTATGGAAGACACTAATATAATATGTTAGAGCAGGCTTTCATGCTAAATGGATCTCTTAATTTCTTAATCTTTCTTTAGCAAAACCAAGCACTTTTACCTCTCTGGTTTTATCCCTGCTGGACAATTACTTACCTCACTCTTTGACATAACTTTTATATTGGAATCAAGAAACTTGTAACTCCAGAAAAGAAACTGCAATTTTATTGCATAATTTCCTGTGTTTTTTTCCTGAAAGGCTCAATATCTGCTTCATAATCTGGTATCAATACCTTGCACTTCCAGATGATTTTGTGATTCAGTAACTTCCCCAGAATCTAATACCAAGACTTTACATTTCTACATGACTTTCTGACTCTACCAAATAAATTTCATAAAGGACTTGGTAAGAAATGGATGTTTTCATTTAGCGTGGGACATCTAATACTCTGAAATGTATTTTAACATCATCACATGACAGAGTTTGAAAGATAAAGGGTATGTTCTCTCCTTACCAAGGAAACCAAAGTTATGCTTTCACCTTCCAGTTAATCTCTAATAAGTACATGAATTAGGCAATGCCATTGTTGATGCTATTTTTCTTTTTTTGACTTTTAGTTAGTACATGTTTTCAGTACACAATGATTACATTCACTGGAAGGGACTGGTGCATGTAGACAACACATTTGGTTTTCCTTCTCCCATCCCCTTTAATTTTTTCAGTATCAGATTCATTATTTATCTTATAGGACCTTATAAAGTTAATTATCATATACACAGATTGAAACCCAGGTTAATAGGCTAAAGACCATAGAAAACATGTAAGACAGTTGCACTAAGTCAAGGTAGTAGTGTAGTAGACCATATATATGGAAGTCTTTCTCTACTGCATTTACGTTTGCTTCTCTGTAAGATTTATTGAGATATTTGATTTAGGAAATCCTACTTTTGCCAAGTGATAAAAAATGCATACCATGGCATTACTTCCTCATTTAAATGGGTTGCTGTGTTGTCACTGACTTTCAGGAACTTTCTTCATTATAGGTGGATTACTTATGTCACTTCTATTTTAATGCCCCTTATTTCCTCAGCTTGAGCTTGTTCACCTGGTATTGAATCTTGAGGGCAAAGATTATAACAGACACACAAGTGGATGAGTAGAGGATGGCCATGGTGAACCAGGAAATACTCTGTCAATTTAGGGTCAAAGCCTTTTGTACCACAACTGATAAACAGACATGGCGCTGTCCTCTGAACCCATACCAGTGTGTGAACCATCAACTTTAGGTGTGTTATGGAGAGAGGTTTCATTAAGGAGATGAAGGCCTGAAGTAGGAGGCTGAGGCAGAAAGCACAGGAAGCTAGGTGTCATCACACACACGACAAAAGTATGTGTCCTTCACAACTTTGCTTAGAGTTAACAGGGGCTGGAGGCGAAGTGAGAATTGAGAGGTACAATCCTGGAGAATGTTGATGATGCTACATTAACTACACAGGAAGTAGTGGCGTGGAGCTTGTAGGCTCCCTGCCTGCTGTGCCTGTAGAAGACAAAGAAATAGCAAAGAGGTAGAAGGATAAAGCTGAAATAATAAGATGACATTACAGGGTAAAAAGGCTTAGAGAGGACCAGAAAATGAAAGTGAATGGATTCACAAAGACAAAGGATTCACAAAGATTTCTTCTGCTTGGTCTAGAACATCTGCATTTTTTTAGAAAATGTTTTAAGGCCTCCACAGTTAATCTGGCTTCCTTTGATGTTAATTAGATCAGATTCTAACTCTAAAAATATAATTTTAACAAACTCCTGACCTTCTTTAGGATTTGTTTTGGTCCACCACATTTAAAAAAAAAATGTCCACATGTGAATGGCCCCGGGCTGGAAAAGAATGATTGCTTTTCAGTGTGTCCTGCAGCTCCTCAACTTGAGTGCTCCCTCCTTGGTGACTGGTCTCCCTCAGCACCTGCCCATCAGGGACAGGACTCCTCCTGTGGGCAGGTGTCGCTGCCTGAGAGTTCAGGGGGGCCAGGGCAGGAATCCTCTGGGATAGTTCAGGACTTCTTACATCCGCATTTGTTAGATGTTTGTGTTCTAACTTTCATAGTCATTTCACACTGCCTAGGACAGAGAAGATTTTTCCTTCTTCAGCCTGTTTTCAGTTTACTGCTGGAGTGTGGACTCCTCCTCCACAAAGGGCAGCGTGTTCTATACTTTGTCCAGTATCCTCCTAGCAGATCTCACTGCTCCCGAAATGAAACCTCTTTTCCACAAGAATTTCAAAGCCCCTGGCCTCTATAAAGCAAAACAATTGATTGTACTTTAAATGTTAAAAGTTTCAGCTTTAAACTCTGTTATTTATGTGTGACCTACCAATGGAGCTCTGTTTGCAAAGTTTGTGCTAACTTACTTGAGGGTTGGGGAGAAGAATAGGAACTTCCTGAGCCATGATAAGTGGCAAAAAACCACAGACTCCAAAAACCTATGACATACAATTGTTACTAAGTGTAAACAAGTATAAGAAAAATCTTATAATAGGAAGATCTAAAAGATCATATTGGTATGTCGTCGACAATTACGGGCAATCACTTTTTTCCTTTGAAATGATAAGCTCCATTGAAGAGTTGTTGCATAGTACGTGCTCAATGAATAGCCACTGAAATGAATTTAATATTTTGTGAGAGATTTGCATTCAATGATCCATAATTTGGGATCCCATTTTAACCTGTGATTTTATAGTTTTCCCCATAAAGAACCACATTAATAGATGGTGAAAATCACCTGCAGGTGTGAACTGTCCGATGTCTACAAACTCAGAAGGTGGACCCCGGCATCTCAGAAAACATTGAACAAAGGAACTTCTCTTCCCCGAAGGGCAATTTCCATATTGCATAATAAGCATTAAATCAGATGCCAAAAACAAAATTGCATGGGTTTTTCCCCATTGCCATTGTCCCTGATATATTTTTTTAAATGCCATTCCATTTCCCTTACAATCTTCATGCATTTTTTGCAGCAATTATAGAAATCTACTTTGTTCTGAGTCTGTAATGATGAATAGCTGGATGTTTATTAGGAGTTGTGAAAAGCTCAGTTGAAATTATCTTGATTTCCTCTACTTGGATACATGCGTGGGCTCAAATGAATAAAAATAACAGTAGCTCATTTTTTACATAACGTCTTAAGATATATAATGTAGTTCTGAATAAATGTGGATAGACAATGACATATACCAAGGGAACAGAAAAGACATAAACCTATCTGTAAATATTCAACTAATCTTCCACAAAGGCATCAAGAATGTACAATGGGAAAAAAATCTCTTCAGTAAATGGTATTAGGGAGCCAGGGATTTAGCTCAGTGGTTCCGCCTGCCTCACAAGCGCAAGGTCCTGAGTTCAATCCCTGGTACCAAAAAAAAAATGATATTAGAAAAACTGAATATCAATATGTTTTAAAAAATGAAGTTGGATACTTATCTAACAACAAAAATCAACTCAAAATGGATTGAAAACTTAACCTTACATCCTGAAACTGCTAAGACTCCTCAAGAAAACACAGGAAAAAGACTCCATGACATTGGTTTTGACAATGATTATTTTTTATATGATACCAAAACCACAGACAACAAAAGCAAAAGTACCAAGTAGTACTACTCTAAACTAAAACGTTCCTGCAACTGCAAAGGAAAGATCAGCAAAATGAAAAGATAACCTACAGAATGGGAGACATTATTTACAAACTACATATTCAATAAGTGCTTAATATCCAAATTACGTAAGGAACTCATAGAACAACTCAATAGCAAAAAATCAAATAACCTAATTTAAGCATGAACAAAAGACCAGAACAGATATTTTTAAAGAGAATATGTACAAATGTCTAACAAGTATATGAAAAGTACTCAACATCACAAATCATCTGAGAAATGCAAATCAAAACCACAATGAAATTTCACACCTGTTAGGATAGATGATACCAAAAAGTTAAGTGTTGGCAAGGATATGACTGAAAGGGGATGCTTACACGTTGTTGTGAATGTAAAATGATATAACTGTTTAGGGAAAACATTATGGACATTGCTCCAAAAATTAAAAATAGAACTGCCATATGGTCTAGTGTTATTTGGGCATATATATATATATATATATATCTCCAAAGAAAATAGATCACTATCTCAAAGAGATCACTGCACTATTTACAACGTTTTTCATAATATTCAAAATATGAAAACAACTGAAGTGTCTGTTGGTAGATGAATGGATAAAGAAAGCATGATATGTGTACACAAAGGAATATTATTCAACCTCAAAAAAGAAGGATGTCTTCACATTTGCCAGAACATAAACGAATCTAGATGACATCATGTTACATGAAGTATGGTAGACACAGGAGGCCAAGTACTGCAAAATCTCACTTATAAGCTCTATGTAGAGTCTGAAAATATTGAAATCCTGGAAAGTAGAAGGGAGGTTACCAAGGGCTAGGTCGGGGTGGGGTGCAGGGAGGGATTGATTAAAGCCTGCAAACACTCAAAGTTATACGATGAACAAGTTCTGGAGACCTAATTACAGCACAGTGACTATAATTATAACAATGCACTGAATACTTGAAATTTGTGAGAGTAGATCTTTAGGAGTTTTACTGAAACACACACACACAAAGATAATTGCATGAGTGAAAGATATGTTAATTAACTTGTGATAATCATTTCACAATGTGTATATGTATTTCAAAACATCATATTGGGCAGGATTTGATTATATACAATTTTTATGTGCTAATTATAGCTCTCTGAAGATGGAGTAAAAGAAGATCAACCTCTCCCAAATTCTAGATTTCATTGCTTTTTGTCAGTTTGTGGCCCCCAATTTTTCTATTGTGACAACTCCATAAATAAGGTCAGTTAAATATTCATTAGAAATAATAGAAAACCTTGCTTCAAAGATAAACTGCCATTTCCTGCGGCTCTCCTCCGTGTGAAATTAATTGCCAAATCCATGAAATGGTCCCTTTAGCTCCCAATAGACCAATATAATCGTGTTTATCTGGAATTTGACAGACTCAGGTTAATAACACAACTTACCTGTTGTATTATCTGTATTTGTTTTCTGCTCCCTGTGAACAATTAATATAAGTTTAATAATTTGAGAACAACGTACCTTTGGCTTAATGTTTTATCTTGTGTGCATTGAGATCCTGACTTATTTTCAATAGCACAGTTAGAATGAAAACTGAAAACTGATTCTGGCATCGTTGTGTTCATGGACTCTGTCTTCTTTCTCACTCCACTGCAAAGGTCACGGGCAGTGTAACTGTGGAAGATGTGACTGCAAAGCAGGCTGGTACGGGAAGACGTGTGAACACCCCCGTTCCTGCCCACTGTCCGCTGAGGAAAGCTTCAGGAAGTGTCAGGGCGGCTCAGCCCTGCCATGCTCGGGAAGGGGTGAGTGAAATTGCTTGGGGTTGCTCACTGCCTCCTGACCTTGTGATTTAAGTGCATTTAGTAGTGCGCATGTGTCTTATTTAAAAGAGAGTTGCAATCTCTGAATGAGGGTAGATTAGTCTTTTGGAATGGGTAAAGAGCTAAAGTACACGTAGAAAGATCTCTCTCTCTCTCTCTCTCTCTCTCACACACACACACACACACACACACACACACACACACACACAATTACTCTGTCAGTCTACTCCAGCTTTTAGGTCTGTTCAATTTCAGTTCAGTTCCATATTGCATTTTTTTGAAAAAAAAAAAAAAAAAAAAAAGGACAGATTGGATGTTTGCTTAATCCTTTCTGGATGAAAACATCTAATTGTCCACCGACATTTATGAACCCTAATGTCGTTATTTGGAGGGGACTGTTGTCTGTCTTTTTAAAGCATCCTATAAATGGGTAGCCATACATAAGCTCTGTTGTTTCAGAGAGCATGCAGCCCTGGGTGTGTGCCTGTTATCATATCAGTGCCCATGTCCCGAGAGGAGAGGAGGAAACATTCACCCAGAGGGGCGCACATTCCATTCTTTTTAATTTATCAAAAGGAGTGCAAATCCATTTCTCATATGAGAATGGCAAAGTTAATATAAAATGTGCATTCAGAAGAAATGTGATTGTTGTTACAAATTTTGTTCAAGAAAGACAAAAAGGAGACGCACTTTCTCTATCTGTGTTAGATCAGGAATTTAATTTTCTTTACATTTTAAATTTTTTAAATGTACTTTTTGTTTAGGATATAATTCACATAATATAAGATTTAGCTTTTTAAAGTATACAGCTCAATGTTTCAAACATACTTGTAGAATTATGCATTTATTCTAGAATTTTTCATCAGCCCTAAAAGGAACCCTGTACTCCCTAGCAGTCACCCCTTTTCTCTTGTTTTCAATGCCTAGAAATCACTAATCTATATTCTATCTACATACTTATCTATTCTGGATATTTCATATAAATGGAATCATAGAATGTGCAGTCTTTTTGTTCTAGGTATTTTCACTGACCATGTTTTTCAAGCTTATCAATGTGGTAACAGATATCAGTCTCCCGTTACTTTTGATGACTAAGTAATATTCCACAGTATGACTGTACTATAGTTGTTCTCCCATTCATCAGTTGATGGGCATATGGTTGGTTTCTACTTTTGGGTCATGTGAATAATGCCACTATGAACATTCACATGAAGGTGGGCATGTGTTTTAATTCCGTCAGTTTCCTTCAAGTGTAATGGCTGAGTCATGTGTTAATTCCCTATTTAAATTTTTGACTATTGCAAGCTTGTCTTTGTAGTGGATACATTTATATTCCCTTCAGAAATGTATCCTGAGTGTTCCAATTTTAGCATGTCTTTATCATTACCAGTTATTGTCTCCCTTTTAAATTATTTATAGTTTTCTTTATAGAGAGTACTCCCCAAATCTTTTGGATTTGTTGTAGCATAGGCATTTTCTCTAGTGACTGTTTATAGGACAGAAGGATTAATTTTTTTTTTTACTTTCAGAAGTATTTATTTAGTCACATCTTTCACCAATACCCCAGATAGGAACCATTGTTTCATTTCCATCTAAAAAAATGGTGCTAAGTAATACTATTTTTGCAGTATTAAAATATTAGAAATTATTATGCCTCATACTGCTGCTATTTACCTGCCCTTTAATCTACAGCAAACATTTTTTTGACAATACTATTTTATATTTACAAAAAGCTTTATCCGTTGTGCCCAGCCATGTGAAAAAGGTTGTACATGGAAAAGCTAATCAGTCTTTTTTTGTTCAAAAAAATCAATTTATCTTTTCAGAACTTTATTCTGATAGTTTAAGGGACAGGTCTATTTTAAATTGAAAACCTTGGGAAAGAATATGACTATCTCAAAATAGAATAATCTTTTCCCGATGTATTTGCCCTAGAAAAGTTAAGGTACTGTGATTTTTGCTGCTATCTTAAGGTGATAAACAAAACACAGCAAAGTCTGATATCTTAAAACATTATTTAACTTAAGGCACTCATGTTCTGTAAAATTATTAGATCTCAAGTAGATATATCACTAGTTGAAGTTAGTAAAAGAGAAGCAAATAAGTATATGTGCTAATAATTTCAAAGCAAAAAAATTGGAGAAAATTTACAAATGCTTTTATGTTTTGAGGATAAAGGGACAAGTTATATAATGGGAAAAGGAGGAAAGCATATGAAATATCTCTCAAACATAGAAAATTACTTTAAATCTGTATATGTACCATATTTTTCATTCTTCTCTAAATTGTTAATATATAGAAAAAATGAAAGAAACTTATTGCAAACTTACATATATCAGTTTTACACAAATTGCTTAAACTAATTTTTCAAACACTGGTTTCCTGTCTTTCTTAAAAGTCACTATTTAGCTATCATTTTAAAGCAATAGAGTATGTTGAAAATGTATTTTACGAAAAGAATTAGAATACTTGTATAGATCTATGATTTTTGAAAATCTTCTGTTTAATGAATCCTCTAGAAGTACTTTACAAATAAATACTCAGCTCCTCTAGTTCCCTTGCAGAGAAATGGACATATTGATGAGCAAAGTGGGCTCCCAGGACTTATGGTGGATTCTTTTAGAAGGAGAACAAAGGATTTATGATCACCAGTCCCTTGCTTGGACCAGTGGCCAGAGACCTGCGCTTTCATGTAGAGATACATCTGAGTCACTGGCTTTGGATGTTTTGAAGCAAATACCTAATATGAAAACTTTCAAAGATTACTTTTGCAGTTTTGGAATGAGTACTGCAACTGTGGTTACAAGAGTGAAGAAAGCAATTCCAAGGCCCATCAGTTCTCATGCTTGACAGCCTCATCAGCTTACCAACTGGGGCCAAAAATCAATAAACAAAGAAATCTCCTGGAACAGTGTTCTCATACTCCTTAGGGCCAGGTGGAGGTGTTTTTCCCACTGGAAATTAAATTAGGTGATTTGCTCCTTTTGATGCTTAACAGATAGGATTGTTATGTCTTGCAGGTAGGAAAATAATTTACATGATCACTTGAATTTTGTGTTAATCCTGCGACTTCTTGGTTTCTGTTCTTTATTACCTATAGATACCATTTCATGCAATTGTTTTTATCTTTTATACTCAATGGCAGTGTAAAGTTACTCACCCTTATTTTTGCTCTTGGGAGTTGGATTGGGGAACCACCTTCTCAACTCATGTTACTATTCTGGTGAGGAACTAATAATGGTTCAGGAGGTCTGACACACTTCTTGTCACAGAAATACATTTTTCTTATGTTTGAGGTTCTTCTAAGCATGAGGTTGGCTTTGATCAAAAGCATGAGCGACAGAGATGTTGTTACTCCTGAGTGGAGGCTGCAGGGGCATGGAAGGGTTTGTAGTCACCTCTGTCCTAGGCTAGGATTCACCGGGCTGGAAGCAGCCTTACGTGCTTTAGCCTGGGTCTTGGAACAGGACATTAGCAGAGCCCCTGGTGACCCTCCAAGGACCTGTAACACAAGGAAGAACAAACTTCTTTTATGTATTAAGAGATTTCCAGGAGTGCTGGTTGTTACTGCAGCAGAACACTACTAATACTCTCTTGTACATTTGAAATTTAGGGAACGTAGTTAAGTCCAAGCAAATGAACAAATGAACACAACACAAATTGTACTTAAAAGAGATAAGCATATAAACACTCCTGGTTTATAAGTATATGTGTATGTTTTGTTATCAATATTTAAATCAAAATAAATACAAGCGTGTATATATTTTACAAGTGAGATATTTATGCCCTTCTTAAAATAGCAGTTATGTGAACTTATCAAACAATAAAAGGCAAAGAACATGGCATGTATTTTCTTTTTAATTTCCAAAATGTATAATGAGTAGGATGAAGTATAATTATTATTCTTTTTACAGAAAAATGAAGTGGAAATTTGAACAGTTTGTGTCTTACATATTAAAAGTTCCAAAGGTACAAATTTTAGTACAAACTTTTTTTTTGGTGCCAGGGATCGAACTCAGGTCTTTGTGCTTACGAGGCAGGCAGTGGAACCACTGAGCTAAATCCCTGGCCCAGTACAAACTTTTATTACAGGCTTTCTGACTCCTGGGCTGTTGTTTTAGATAATTTACTGGTTTTTGTTGTGCTAATTTGCTAGTGATACATAATAAATAAATTTTCCTTTTAAAATATAATTCTGCAAAGATATTGTAGTGGTTGTATAGTGCTCTATTACATGGCTACATAGTAAAAAACCATTATACAGTTGTAGCAAAAATAACTTAATCTTCTTATCTTAGAATCTGTGTTGTGTCTTATTTTATGCAGAGCTGTAATTCACATTCTTGTAGCAGAATGTGTGCACAAATTCTTAGCATATTGGATGTGGAAAGCATAGATCTAAATGAACAAAAATAGGTTAAATCCTTTTAAAAATACAGCCAGATATAGTGGTGCACATCTGTAATCCCAATTTCTTGGGAGGCTGAGGCAGGAAGGTGATAATTCCAAGGCCTCCCTGAGCAGGTAACTCACTGAAATCCTGTCTCAAAATGAAAAAGAGGTTGGAGACAAAGCTCAGTGACAGAGGATCTGAATTTTAATCCTTAGTCCTTAAAAAGTCCTTTTACAATTACTATTTTCTAGAAAAGCTGGACCAATAAACCCTCTGTGCCAGGAGCACAAGAAAAATTCTCCTCACAAAGCAGTAGTGATAATTTACATGATCGGCTCTACTCTTTGGATTCTGTTTAGTACTATAAATTTTTGTCATTTATCAAATTCCTTTCATTGACTCTATAATCATCAAAATAAGTGATTTATCTCCAGGCTTTATTACTCACAGGGTTGTGTTTGCCATCTTTGCTCTCTTTGATCATCATTTGTCCTTGTGTCTAAGTCATCTTGTTGCTTGGTACTACATTCCCCAGTGCATTTTGCTCATCCTCCGTGCCCTTTGATTTTCTTTAATCACAGTTGTTCTT